CTTTACGCCACTTCACTTGTTTTCGCTAACCAAAAGAAATCTGAAGAGGATTGATGCATTCAGTATTTGTTTTGCAGTGGGCTGTTAAAGAGGTAGCACACCCCGAGCAGCGACAGTGGGGTTGCCAAGCTCCTTCCCTGGGAACTACACTCAGCATCTGAGTTTTTACTATATGTTAGTGTTATTTTAGGTTTTATGTATTATTTGATATGATTCGGTAGGTTCTTTTTTGGGTCTGGGAACACTAAAAATTTTTTTAGTTTTTTTCCCCCATATAATTTTTTTTGTTTTTTCCAGCTTACGAAAGGTTTTGTAGGAACACTCATACTTTCAGATAGCAGGGGAAACCTGTAAGTTAACTCTCTACCAGAGCAAAGTCCAATGCTATATAATGGAATACAACACAATTCAGAACCCAACAGTGTAAAATCATAGTGTCTGTCATCCAATAAAAAATTAAAATGTTTTCAAAAAAAGCAGAAAAATATAACCTATAACCAGGATAAAAAAATCAGTCAATGGAAAGAGACCCAGAAATGACAAAGATGATTGAGTTCACAGACAAAGATATAAACAACAGCTGTTATTAATATGCTGTAAATGTTCAAGAAGGGAGGAAAATATGGTGAGGAAAGATATAGAAGATAAAAAACAAAAAAACACAACCCAAGTGGACTGTCTAGAGATGATGAATAAAATGTCTGAAATTAAAAAAGTCCAAACCCCCCCCTACACCCACCCACACCCACCCACCCAAAAGATGAGATTAATGGTAGGTAAGACACTGCAGAAGAAGAGATCAGTGAGCTTGAATATATACAATAGCAACTATACAGGGTGAAAAAGACTGGGGAAGAAAAGAACAGTGCATCAGTGAGCTGTGGGACAATATCAAGTGATCTCTAAGATACATGTAATTAGAGTTCCAAAAGAAAGGAGGTGAACAAGAAAAATATTTGAAAAAAACAATGGCTGAAAAATTTCTAAGTTTAGTGGACACTATAAACTCACAGATCCAAGAAGCTCAGTGAACTCAAAGCAGAAGAAACATTTAGAAACTACACCAAGGCATGTAATAATCAAATGGACAAAAGTGAGTGATAGTGAAAGAAAATATTAAAAGTAGCCAGAAGAAAAGACACATTATGAACAGAGATAAAGATAAGAATGACAGCAGGCTTTTTGTTAGAAACTGCAAACTAGAAGAGAGTGGAGTAACATCTTTAAAGTACTGAAAGAATTAAAACTTGTCAACCTAGTATTCTGTTCCCACTGAAAATGGTTTTCAGAATGAAGTGAAATAAAGACTTTAATATAAACAAAAGCTGAGGGAATTCATTGTCTGACCTGTACTATAAGAAGTCTTAAGGGAAGTACTTTAGGCAGAAGGAAAATAATAATAGATGGAAATTTAGATCTGTGGAAAGGAATGAAGAGTGCAGAAAATGGTAAAATGTAGGGGAAGTATGAAAGACAGTTTCCTAATTTAACATTTTTGAAGGAATTTATTTAAAGCAAAAATAATAAAAATACCTTGTGGGGTTATAACATACATAGATATAAGGGGAAAGGTAAGTATGATTACACCATATGTGAAGTGGTATAATTGGAAGACAGTATAAACTTTAGAGCAACCGCAGTGGAACAAAATAAGGAAAAATAAGTCAATGGGGAGATAAAATGGAATACTAAAAAAATAATCAGTCACAAAAGGAGGAAGGTAAAGATGAAAAAGGAACAAATAACAGATGGGACAAAAAATAGCAAGATGGTAGATTTAAATCTAACCATATTGATAATTACATTGAATTTAAATGATTAAATACTCTAGTTAAAAGGCAAAGATTATCAGATTGGATAGAAAAGCAAGGCCTAACTATATGATGTCTGTGAGAAACTCACTTTAATATAAAGGCACAGATAAAAGTAAAAGGATGGATGGGGACTTCTGCATCTGGCTAATATGGAGTAACAGGGACTGTATTTATCCTCTCCCTGAAAAAAATCCCTTTTCTCCCTTAGAAAGACAAAATACATTGGAAAAAAACAAAAGCAAGTTTTCAAGATATTAGACATCAGGGAAAGAAGACCAGTAATCCTTGAGAGATGAGAAACAGACTTGAGCCCTACAATTACCCTGGCCTACTGCATTGAGGGAAACCCTGGTGGCGTAGTGGTTAAGAGCTATGTTTGCTAACCAGAAGGTCGGCAGTTTGAATCCACCACATGTTCCTTGGAAACCCTATGGAGCAGTTCTACCCTGTCCTGTAGGGTTGCTATGAGTCAGAATCGACTCGATGGCAGAGGGTTTGGTTTTTTTTTTGGCTGCATTGAGAGAGTTTCCAGGATGTGATGGAGGAAATGGGAACTGAGGCAAAGAGTCTGGAAGGCTCCCTAAGTGGAGGTGATGTAGTGATGTGTTTTGGACCTACCTATTATAAAATCAGGACTTGAAAGG